CGCCGCGGCCGCTCCGGCCCTCCGCGGCCCGCCGGCCCCCGGGGAGAGCGCGCCGCGGCCGGCACGAGGTACGGACGCGCCTCCCAGCCGGCCCGCGGCCCGCCGCGAACACTTACTTGAGGGGCCGCCGGCTCCAGGCTCGCTCAGAGGGGAGCGAGCGTTGTCACCGCGTCGCCCGGCCGTCGCTCGGGCGTCCTCCTCGCCGCCGGGGCTTCTCCTCTGAGGGGTGGGCGGAGAGCTTAGCGAGAGCCCGGGCGTTTGCAACTTTTCTTCACTTTCTCTTCCACCGCCCCCCGAAACGGGGGGAAAAAAATGTCGACAGGGATGAAGAAGTTGAGGTAAAAGTTGGGGGTCCGCGCGGGAAAAGCGGAGAGGGGGAGGGTAAATGGTTGGAATTGGGATGAGAGCCCCCCCAAACGGTGATGCCCGCAGGAGGGGACCGGGGGGGTAGGGTGGGGGTTGGGGAGAGAGAAAGAGTCGCTGGTCAGGAAACTTCAACCGCGGATGAGGTCATCGGTTTAAAAATAAAGAGATGGCGTCACTTGAAACCAATCCCAGTGAATGAACTCAGCGGAGCCCGGGGGGGAAAGGAGGAGACAGGAGAGGGCAGGGCGGGGGGCGGGGGCGCCGGGCGGGGCCGCGCGTCGCCCGCCCCTCGGCGCTCGTCCCCGCGAGCCGCAGCCTCTGGACGCTCCGGGAGGCGGGCTCGGGTCGCGCTCCCGGCCGACCGAGCGGCTCGCGGGCCGGCTCCTCCTGCGCTGCGGGGAGGAAGAGCCGGGCGCCGCGCGCAGGCCGCCGCCTCGTCGCTCCGGGTTCGTGGCCCCGGAGCCCGGGTCTGTAGCCCGGCCGCCGGCGGCCCGCGCTGGGGTCTCTGCTCAGACTGTGGAGGCTCCTCTAAACCCCCACGCCCGGGAAACGAAGACAAGGTGATCTGACTCTGCTGCAGTCACTTTGTAAGAAGGTTCCGGAATCCCAAATCCCGGACTTTCCTCTTTGAGTGGGACGTTACAGGTACTTTAAGGAAAGTTGCACCGGTGTTGTCAGACATTCACCTACGTCTTCATCCTCGAAAGACGCTACACGAGTGCCCCGTTTTATGGCAAACGCAGCCAAGAATTATTTTTTAAAAAATCTTTTCTGCGTGCCCTCGGCATGGCTCACCAAGTAAAGGTCCTTGAGGTGGAGAGAACCGCCTTTGAAAGTTGTCCTCAGTCCACATGCTGTCCCCCATCCCGCTACACACACAAATAAATAAAAATATAATAAAACTTTAAGGGGTTTGGGGGGCAGTGAAGAGCACTGACTGCTCGATTCCCAGCACCCACACGCGGCTCACAACCATCTGTAACTCCAGTTCCAGGGCATCTGATGCCCTCTGCTGACCTCCATGGGCACAGAGCACACATGGGATGCACACAAAACATAAAGGCACAACACCCTTACACATTAAGGAAGTATTTTCTACATCAGTACTTCAGCATCATCTCTAAGTCAAACCAGAGTTCATTTCCTCTCAAGAAATGCAAGACCTACTTGATTTAACTCCAAGTCCTTCATGGGTTTGGGTTTTTGTTTGCTTGTTTGTTTCTTTTTTCTTTTTTCTCCCCTCTTTTCAAAGTAGCTTTGTTTTGAGAACACTACATACTTTGGAAAACGAGAGACCTGAGGTGGTGACAACCACTCTCAGCAACTGACTAGGACAATCGAAGCTTTTTATCCCAGTGTCCTTTGAGCATTTGAGCATGAGGCTGTTCTACTAAAAAGGACTCACGTGGATATCACATAACAAAGTTGAGATGAATGACAGAAAAGCACACTTTGAGTGCACTGGCCCAAGAGCCAGATTCCTGTGTAGGAAGACTTGACCCCTCAAACCGCGTCATCGGCAGGGTACTGAAGTAAGGATTCTGGCCCTTCAAGGCAGTATGTTGAGGTAAATCGATGTGGACACCACCTAAGTGCCAAAAGAACTAAGGAGCACGTTTGGAGTGGGTTAGAAAGATGATATTTCTGTTAGCACTCTCCTCCTACCTTTAAACCCTGCAACAAAGGTGCATTCGTTAAGATTGGCAATCATTAATCATTTAAGGAACCATTATGGAATATGCCTCCGGGTACATCTTTCAGAGTGTGAAAAAAGGAGCCCATCTGGAGGTGGGAGCAGCAGAAGACGTCAAGCTGCACGTGCAGATGCAGACCCAGCTTAGAGGAGGGGGTGCCTTTGACCTTGCAGATTTGAGTGGAGGGGGAGTGTCCGGCGGCTCCTGTCCTCTCGTGGCCGGACTTGGTACTGCAGCGTCACTGAGCTGACAACCACCTAGAAGCCTGCTTTCGGAAGTTGGGAGAATAGTTGAAAAGGATCTGCGTCTTCAACCTTCCTGGGGAGAGGTGTTGGGATTTATTGAAGGACAGAATAGAGAGTCTTTGCAGTAGAAGTGCGGAGCGTGACTCTCGCCGAGATAAAAGACTTGGAACTCCAACAGCTCTGCTGTAATTGCCTCTTCCTTTATTTAGACAAATTGTAGTATCTTCCTTGTGTGTGGTACTACGAGAGCATCTTCTCTGGATATGGTTTAACTAGGGAAATAGGACGACTGCATTAATGATTGAGCGGCATTCAGTAGGGTTAAAAGAGTTTAAAGGTCAGAAGGTGGAGGCAGCCTAGACTACATAATGAGAATTTAAAAAAATAAAAATAAAGCTGCCATAGTAGTGCAGGTCTTTACTCTCAGCATTCAGGTGGAAAAGGCCAGCAGATCTCTGTGAGTTCAAGTCCAGCCTAGTCTACATATGGGGTTCTAGGCCAGCCATGGCAACATTTTGACATCTAGTCTTTTTTTTTTTTTTTTTTTTTTTGGTTTTTCGAGACAGGGTTTCTCTGTGTAGCCCTGGCTGTCCTGGAACTCACTCTGTAGACCAGGCTGGCCTCCAACTCAGC